TGTGCTCTTCCGATCTCCCCCCCCCTAAATATACGAATGTCTACAGTCAATAAAATTACAATGTTATAACATTACGTATACAGACGTTAAAAATTTTGAGTAATATAAAGATATAAACAAAAACATTACATTTATTTGATTTTATTTTGTTTAGAATACCAATTTGAAGCAAAAAGTAATTTTTCGTACATTTATCACCATAAGCGAAATTATATATGTAATGATTTCGATATTTTAATATGTTAACTATTTAAATTTCCTATATTTTACATACTCTTATATTTTGTAAAATAAAACTTCATATTCATAATGAAAAACGGAAGTCTATTCCTAATTTAAATTTTTTGTCATCCTTATGCTTATTATCTTACCTAGCAATTCTAAACATTCCACAAGCATGTTGAAGATATGCAACGAGCATTGTACCTGTCGCTGTTAATACGAAACATCCTACGACCACAGCTGTATTTAAGTGGAAGAATAGTAAGTAGAAGTATCTTTCTTGATTGATAAAATATTCAGTTGTGACCTGCAGGTGATGTGGTCGAGATATATTTACAGATAATATGATATCTGTAAAATCTCGCCATAATTGAGCCACCAAAACAAGAGATACACCAAATAGAAAAGCCGCTAAGCAACATAATAAAATAATAATATAATATATAATTTTCTATATTTTATTTTGAAATTTTTTACATTTATAAGTATATTGCAGTTTATATTATTTTACGTGCAACGCTTGTATTTTAGATAAATAGATAAATAGAAATTTAGATAAATAGAATGATAATCTTTATATACAAATTTACAATTAGTAATTTTTCTTTATTACCTTAAATGACTTAAATTATTTTTATGTTTATTTAGTAAATAAATACACAAGGTTAATTATTTATTATTAAAAATTATAAAATTTTTCGTTCATATTTTACTGCAATGCCAATGTGCCGAATGTTTCACTTACATACAGATCAGTATGACAGATTACCTATTCGATAGATGTGCCATTGACTGTGCCGCCGAAGTCTCTGTTGTGAACGATCTTACGCACCTGCACGAATAGGCAACCTATCATATTGACCTGTAAGAAACACCAGGTACATACATGTACAGAGTATGTCAGTGAAGCGATCACTACTGCTCTACTGCTTCATTGAGCATTGTAGAAAAACATGGTACAGGACTTTTTAACTCAGTTCTTTTTGCAAAAACTAATACTATATAATTGTTGAGCGCTATTTAAGATACATAATCTTATATAATTTTATATCCCTTGAATCTCAAAATAAATATTTTTATAATTTAATAGAAAATATTCGTATTCGTTGATTTGAAATACAAAAAGAAATAAAAACTAAAACATATCTTACTTGCAATAACAGTTGTGTAATGTTTTGCTTTATTTCCATATCTTTCTACAATAGCAATTTCGTTGTTGTCCTTTATGTTATTATAAATATACTGAACTTGTTCCATTAAACATTTTACCTATTCTTCCAATAAATTTTTATACTACTTATTTTAGTATTAAATATTATACATATTTAAATATTAAAAAGTTGATAGGTATAGAATGTTAATAAAATATGTATTATATAAAGTTATTTATTTAAAAAATACAGTAGACAATTAACTTACTGCTTCACTATTAACAAAAAAGGAATTGTATTTAACGATAACAGTGATGAAAGAAAGTACGGGAGATAGAATCTTGATGAGGAGTTCTGCAGAACATTTTGTACTTAAAATTGATGTAAGCTGTAAATAATAAGACTTAAAGAATTAGAGTGAAAAAACGTTCTTATTTTTTACTTTCACATATGCAATGTGAGCAAATCGTAGTCTCTTTATCAAATATGTAAACATGTAATAATTTGAAACAAATTATATAACTTCTATTTCATGTTAATGGTCACGTAATTTAGATATAACAGAAAACAATGTAATAACATTTTATTATATTTATGCACTAATATAGATGCACACTCATAGATCTTTATATAGATTTTTGACATAAATAAAGAATAAGATATTATTGATCAGTTATTATTTACACTTTCAAAATAAACCAAAAAGATTTTTCATATTTTATTGCTAAATTAATATATATTCTATCATACAATTAACATTTTTAAGAAAATTTTAATAACAAATTGATAGGAAAATTTGTAAGTAAAGACTATAGATATAAGACACAGGTATATTAAAAATAAGAAATGCATTTATTATTATAATTAAAATTACTCTACCTGAAATATAATGCAACTTATGAGAATGCTAAATATTAATATTATTTGCAGTCTAATAAATTTTGACTTTTCATAAGGCCATAAACCAATTATTAGCAAAAGAGTTCGGTTGAAACTAAAATATCTATCCACGACATTGATCATCTCTCTGCTAGCACTAAAATTGTTGTGACAGGGGTGAAGTGAACGAAGGTTTACTTATCCCTACCACGTTCAGTTGGCTGAGTAAATATTTTCTCTTCTAGTATTTTTTTAGATATTTTTCAATTTAAGCTATCTTCTGTAATTTAGTCTAACTGTAATGCAATAAATAAAATATCGCTCTTACATTAGAACATAATACTTTGCAATTTAACACTATATCGTTGAAATGTGAGCGCCGATTAAATAATCGATTCAATAGCCCAACGAGAAATTTAACAGATGTTTGTTTCTCATGGAATATGCGAAACTCGTATTCATGCGAAACGTTCTGTAATAGAAGTTGTGCATGCGTACTAGTGGTTCCTATATTCATGTGCTTTATACGTTTTTTTTTGTTCTTTGCTATTTATCTATTAAAGAAAGCTGAAAATTAAAAATATCTTACATAATTAGTAATTATAAATGTATAAATATAATAATTAAAAAATGTAAATATTGATTGTTGTCACATTTAGTTGATAAGATATCGATTGAATATTACTTATATTTTTAATACAAATGTCTATATTTTTAATTAATTCTGTAATTTAGTTTAACTACAATTAAAATATCAGTGAGAAATATTAGTAACAGCATTATATTTGCTATTTACACTTTTAGGAAAGTAATCGCCGGTTACATAATCGATTCAACACCAACAGAAATTTAACAGATGTTTCCTTTTCGTGAGAGAAGTTGTAAAGTGAGAGTTACGCAAACATATTATTTGTTTGTCAGCTTTGAGTGTTCAACCATATGTTTTATTTTAACATGTGTATGTATCCTTGTATGTTACATATAATTTGCTGGGGGAAAAATGTTTCAAAAGTGTCACACGTGGTAGATATTAACAAAATTATGTAGCATTATTCCACATTATATAATTTTCTATTTTCTTATGTATAATATATAGTTGGGTTATGTTATTTTTACGAAGTTAAATAAATGATTTATATGAAACAACGTACTTCATATGACAAATATAAAACAACATACATTTTCAAGACACAATTTAAAATAAAATAATCAAATAATATATGCTATTCAGTGAGTCTAAATTTGAAAAATGTTAAAGTAATAATAATTGAAAAAGAAAAAAAAACACGTAAAATTAAGTTATTATTGCCTAGTTTATTTTATTTTTATCTTAATATATTTAAATATAAAATAACGTACGCGAATTAAATATATATTAGTTAATCTTTTCCTCACATTAAAAGTATTATAAAAGTATTATAAAACCTTTTTCTGCCATCTTTTATTTATGCATTTTTTATGTTACACTTCATTTTTTGAACATAAGATATACATATACATATACATATACATATATATATATATATATATATATATGTATATTGTACACCGTCTTTTCCATCATTATAATACTATTATAATTGATATATTACATTTTTATGATCGCGTTGAATACATAACAGTAAAATAAGATACGGCTGCATTTGCTAGCTGTAACAAATTATGTTTACATTCCGTTAAATTAGATCATCTTTAATAGATATTACAGCATATAAAATATATATTTTTACCGTGGCAAAACATTCTAAAGATGCTATGAACAATCCACCGATACGAAGACCAAAACTCTTATTACCTCTTTGCAGCAGAAACAATATTAGCTTTTGTATAGATAAAGGAGTTGCGTACCATTGAGTTGTATATCTAAAATTGATAACAATATCAAAATTTGAAAAAAATAAGAATACTTGTTTAGAGTTTTATTATCGCACATATATTTATCAAGTGCTATATTAACATTTAAAATTTAATTACGTTATTTTTTAATTTTTGATTAGTCATTATATCTCTTTTCTACTATATAATATAAAATTATGTTACTTACGCAGCGACATATACGTGATTATTATGATCTATAATTTGTTGTCCGACAAGATTAGCTAAGAACATGTATATAACAGAGATTGCCGCAATTATGAGACATGTTAGAAGTTCTTTAGTATCATATTCGGATAATACAATCTGAAAAACCTAGTACATACAAATGTATTAAGATTTTTTTTGAGAGAACTGTAGTATAAACATAATTTGTGACAAAATTCAGTACCAAATTTATCTATTATAAAAATAGTGTTACTTAACATGGCGATAATGCCAAAATTTTCAAATTTGAGTAACTTTTCTGTAAAATTATCTTAATTTTTTATCTAATCTCTATTAATGTTAGTAAAAAGATATTAAAATTATTAATATAAAGCAACATAAAGAAACATACAAATCATTAAACATTTAAATTGGATTTATAAAAAACGAAAGCTAGAAAACTTACTCGAAAAATATTTAGACTTAAACTAAGTACTCCGACTGCTATTAAAAACATAAACGACTTTTCAAATGTCGATATAAGATAGTTGGAAAATCTTTAAAAACAAAAGTATGTTATTATACATATTATACATTTATTATACAATTATATATAGATACGAACGTCATAGCTTTTTGATGAATATCTACGGCTCGGATTATATATTTATAAACCAGAATTTCGTTCTGCATATTAACATTTTTTGATATATAAATATCTATCGCTCTCTGAATACGGTAACTGTAAATAATTTAATTACAAATAGCTAAAAGGTAAAAAATTTAAAAAAATAGGCAACAATTTTAAGGAAATAAGAAAAAAATAAATTCATAGAATAATTCTTAGGCGTGCTCGCGTTATGAATTATTTGGCTAATCCTAGTAAAATATGCTATATGCATGTACAAACATTTGTCGATAAACTTGAATTACTTGAAATATTATGTAAATCCGGATTGCTAAGAATTTTCAATAATATAGATATAAACAAAAATATTACCTACTGTTACCTGATTTTTATTTTACTTAAAATTTTAACTTCGAAATTAAGTTAAGTAGTAATTTTCGATATACGAGTACATATTACATTGCACAGTAAGAAATCATAGATATGAAGATTTTATTGTTTGAATAATTGTTTAAACTTCGAATACTTAGCGTATTCGTAATATATTATATATTTTGTAAGGTAAATCTTTCCATTTGTATCAAAACAAAAATGAGGGAACCAAAAGCTTATTCCTAATTTAATAGTATCCTAATTTAGTAGGTATCTCGATTATTTAAACTATTTTACCAAGCAATTTTAAACATTCCGCAGGTATGTTGCAAATATGCAATAAGCATTGTTCCTGTCGCTGTTAATACTATACAACCTATGCTCATAGATGCATTTATATGGAATAATGGTAAATAGAAATATCTTTCTTGATCGATAAAATATTCCGTTGGGATTATGTCATGTGATCGTGATACGTTTGCAGACAATATGATATTGGTAAAATCCGTCCATAACTGGGCACCCATAAAAAGAAATGTGCTACAGACAACAAGCGCTAAACAACAGTATAAAATGAAAATATAAATATAATTTTCTAACACTTTGAAATTTTACATTGGTATATAACTGTATCACATACTAAAATATTTTATGCGTAAATCTTTTTACAATTTATAATTAGATAATTATATGAAACTCTTTATTAAATAAATTATTTTCTTTTTTATTATTTTTACATTAATTACTTTTAACTCTAGGTACACATACAGGGGTACGACGTACTCCATGATTTTTCATTTTTCTCAAATTTTTAAAATACAATTTTTTTAAACAATTATAATTATTTAAAAATAAAATATTTTTTATTTGACTCCTATTTATTTGTCTTTTTCAGATTCTGGCGTATCAATTTAACATGCGTTGAGCTAAAAAATATGCTTCCAGTTCGAAGAGATAGCGTGTCAAAGTTAAGGAGTTTCATACCCCGCAATATGTAAGAAGGTAACCAAAAATTACCAGTGTGTACCTAGGGTTAAGTTATAATAGTCTGAATATAAAAAATTTATTAAATAATTTTAAATATTATATATAAAAGAATAAAAAGATATCTTACTCATAATCTCAGTCGTATACTGTTTTGCATTATTTCCATATTTTTCTACGATGGCAATTTCATTATTGTCTCTTAAATCATCATATGTATGCTGAATTTGTTCCATTAAATATTTTACCTGTCTTTTCAATAAGTTTTTATGCGATTTGTTCTTAATAAAATTTAAAGGAGGGAGAGGGGAGGAGGAGAGAAGAGAGAAAATTGATATTATATATATATATATATATATAATATACTTAATTTTATAAAATTTATTTAAATAATTATATGAAATAATATATAAAATTATTTTAATAAATCTAGTAGATAATCAAGTTACCGCTTCATTATTAACATAAAAGGCATTGAATTTTATGACAAAGCCGCAGAAAATAATTGAGATAGAAAAAATCCTGATGATAAAATCGACAGAATAATTTGAAGTAACAATTGTTGTAAGCTATAAAAAATATTTTTTATATAAAAAACAGTATAAAAGACCGTTGTTATTTTTGGTATTGTAAATCATTTTAAGTTATAACTTTATAACAATTTTAAATAAAATTTATACTTATATAAATTTTTACTTTGTGTAATTGCAATTATATTGTAATTATATATATAATGTTAATTATATATATAATATAAGAAAACAACATAACATGTTATCATATGCACGCACGCATGAATTAATAAACATGTATGCATACTTGCAAAAATAGATTTTTACATATAAAGAATAAAATCCCAATTTTGCATTGAACATATTTTTTATACTTAATTGCTCAACTGACATATTACAACTTAAATCGCGTTTTTAAGGAAATATCAGTTTTAAATTAGTAAAAAAATTTACAATTATAATTCCATAAATCTAAGAGAATACATATAGCTAGAATATATATAACTAGAATTAAAATCGGCATACCTGAAATATAATAAAAGTTATAAGAATGCTAAAGATGCAGATTATTTGCAGTCCAGCAAATTTTGATTTTTCATAAGGCCACAAACCAATTATCAACAAGAGAGTTCGATTAAGACTGAAATACTTATCCACGACATTGATCATGTCTCTGATATAGCACTCAAACGTGTTTAGCAGGATTAAAGCAAATAAAGACGCGCTTATCCCTACCATTCAGTTGATTAAATATTTCTAACGTTTTTTTCTTTTAATACAAAATTTTATTCTACAATTTAAGTTAATTTCAATAATTCAGCCTAATTCGCTGAATTTTTAAGCCAATGGAAATACTGCGAAATAAACAGTAGAATAACAAATAATGAGGGGGAAAAAGAACCAAACAGAGTAGAATATTATTGTAATATCGGGACCCTTGCAATTTAACATTATTTCTTTAAAATACTGTCGTCATTTAAGTGATCGATTCAACGCCGAAGAAGTTTAACAGATGTGCTTTTCTCGTAGAATAATATACACAAGGAAAACTAATGGGCGCGAAGCTGGCGCAAGCGCTGTCGTTGTTTTTCAGCGATGCGTATTCTCGCTGCTTCACTCTGAAATGTGCTCTTGTAAGTCATACTTGGTCTTTCAAGATCACGATTGACTTTAAAATAGTAAATTGATTCTATCTTCTAAGTTATTTATTAAGAACATAAATTTATACTTTTGTGTGATTTTTTAGTATTCTTTATGAAAAAGAAGATATCTAATTGAAATATAAGAATATATGACTGACAATGACACAAAGGAGGAAAAGTTTTTACTATTTGAACATAACAAAATTGTACGTATAATATCATACATTTCTTTTAATTTAATTTTATTAGTATTTTCTAAACTTTTCTTGTATAAACTACTGTTCATATTATGTGGGAAAATTTTTCTTTATTAATTATACATGCGAGGTACAAAATAGAATCTACAGACAGATTACATTAATTTTTATTGAACAACGAGGAGAAATCTATTTTATGATATTTATATATAATATAAAATTAAGATATAAATAAATGATGAGTCTTTATTAAAATTAAAATTGAAGGCATGTCGAGACTGAAGATCAATATGGGATCACAACTTAATACAGCTTATTTTATAATTAGCTATATTACGATAATTAAACGTTAATTATATCCGGGACAACATTGCAAATAAAACACATTGCTTTGCGATTTTGTACGCAAAAATAGTATTGCAGCTTTGTTTGTTTGAAATAAAAATAAATATTAATTAATTTTCTTCGCAAATAAAAAATATTATAGACGGTTCATGACACATTTGCATTTGACGTTGACGCGTCATTTTTCGCCGTGTTCGAGTTTTCGTCTTCGGTATTCTTGGTATTGCTAGCGGATGATGATTCAGGTATCTACAAAAGAAATAAAAACACACATTGGAAAATCGCAACGACAATTCATCTACAATTATTACGTACTTTTGCCTGACGAGGTAGATTGGGCAGGATGGATGGTAGCCTATAGCTAGGTAAAACATCTGGCATAGGTGGGGGAACTGGCGGTTCACCGTAAGTATTATGAAGCTCCTCCAATCTTGTGCAGAGAGCGGTGCCACGTTTGCTCGTAGCGTTCATTTTTTTCATAAGCCAATCAGCCTGTTCCTCCAAACGTTTCAGTCGATCGGCCCGTGTCGCCAAAACTTCCTCCGGAGTTCGGGATTTAGTCGGAGTGGTTTCCTTTTGCGATCCTACCGCGCTTTCTCGCAGCTCGTCTCTAGACGATGTAGACGAAGCCATTGGGCTTGTGTCGGCCATAGGAAATTCTCGGACCGTGTCCAAACTCGAAGAGGAATCCACAGAGATACTGTCGGAATCTGCGACGTTGTCTATTAATTTGGAAGATCGTTGATCCCTGCTCTCTATCTCTTCTTGACTCGATACCGTCGACGAGGAAGAACAAACGGTTGATGAGGAGGTGATACAGCTATCCGTAAAGTTTTCCAATTCTGTCACGGTCGTACCAAACACTGGAGCAAGAAAACGATTAGACGGGCCCACAATCAAGGGATTGCTGAACTGTACGCTTTTCATTGACGAGGGCGGTGCAGTAGATGCAGGAAGGGGTCCGATGGCAAAGACAGACATCGTGCTGGTTGTATTCGCAAAAGTAGCGATGGGGGTATGAGAAACGGGCGATAATGGAGTACTTTCGGATTTTATTATCTCACCGTCCGCGTCGTCGTCTTCACGCTGTCTTGAATTTCTGTGAGTCGCAGTTGACGACGATTCAGACGATTCGCCATTATCCACCGCTGAAGGTAGATCGATACTTGTAGCTGTTCGTTTTAGAGTCTTCACAACGGATGAATACTGAGATTCGATGGTCGAAGATTGCGGATTTTCGTCGCTAAAATCAATTCTAGAAGTTGCCGTTCGAGCGATCTTCATATCACCGTTGGTTTCAGGGATCGGATTGCCGCACGGATCCTCGAAAGATGTTGCCATATTCTCCCGTAAAGCCGGAACATTGTCGTCTGATTCTCGATTGTCAATTTTTATAAGATTTTGTATAACATTGGTCAGAGCTTGATCCAAAGGATCCAGAATCTCCTGCGTGCCTTCCATAGCGTGCTATTCAAAATTATATTAATTAAACCATACAAATTTATATTTTAAATATGATTTGCTAAATATGACTTTCACTTACATCAACTTCCGTCATGTTAATAAGTTCTGGATCAATATGCGCGATTTCTGACTCATCCAACTCCGTTTCGGTCTCCGGAGTCGGCGTGCGTTGCTCCAAAGTCACCGAGGATCCAGTCTTCGATTCTGACAGCTCAGTATCTGTCGGCTGTTCGGATTCTGTGTCCGGCGTCGGCGCTCTAGGACTCTCCTGTATTAGTTCAAGCAACATTTTAAAATAATAATAAAAATTATACAAACATTTGTATAAATAATTATTATAAACCTTTCGTGTCCGTCTGCGCGGACCGTGTCTGATTCGTCCTTCAATCGCTTCTTCTTCTTCGTCAGTATCACCTCTCTCATCGCTGAAACCGCTTTCGGCGCTACTTCCAAAAAAAAAAACACACACATATATATATAAAATAATAGAACATATGTACATATATAATATATATGTGTATATAATATATATGTGTATATAATATATATGTGTATATAAAAATAAAATATATATATATAAATTTGAAATATCTCCAAGTAAGAAAATCTCTCGTTATTTAGAGGTATTTCAGTATTGAATTAAAATAGTGACAACGAAATTGTGAATACAAAACCTATTGAAAGAATCGTGAGCAGCTAAAGCTTTTCGTGCAGCAAACTCGCGACGCAGATTTCTCCATTCCCGTTCGGTGTTCGTGTTTTTTTGTCTAGCCGATTCCCATTTCTCTCTGCAGTATTCCAACTCCTGCTTCAACTCTTGCAACATTTTTCTCTTCTCCTGCAGCTCGTATCTTAATATCTCCTCGTGCGTGTGCAACTGCTGATGCTGCGCCTGCATCCGGCCGACGACATTCCATGTTTTGGCCAATTCGACCGACACCATGGAAAGTCTCTTCTCCTAAAAATATTGAAATGATAAATTGCGTATTACTTTATATTATATCGCACATAAAAGCTTATTGTTAGAAAATCATTTACCTGTTCGCCTAATTTACTTTCTAAATGAGTGTTCAGCTGCTTCATGCGGTTCATCTCCTTCTCCAAATGCTTCTTCTCCAGAATTAATTCCTTCAAACGAATGTACGTTTTGCTCACGGATATTACTAGTCTTGGGCCGGCCGGAGTGTCCACAGACTTGTAACAACTGTTCGGGTCCGAACAGGACGCAACGGAAACGCTCGGAGAGGTCACCGCGTGACAACTAAGTAGTTCCAATAAAACGCGCCACACCTACAACACAATTTCACAATTAGTTCGACGAAGTCAATTCATGTATTAAGCTCTTTAAACGAAAGCACGTAATCGTATAATCGTTAGTATTATTGTGACGCAACATTTAAATTAACATTTGAAAATACGTCGAAATTAAATAATTATTATTTTAACCTTAGGTAAATTATGGGCGATATCTTCCTCTTGGAGATCATCTTCCTTTCTATCAATTTCACCAACATTATCTGCACTATTCTCTTCGCTCGCGTGTTTCTGAGTTGCTTTACCGCCTTCGACCTGCTCAATCAAATCTAAAAGAAGTTTAGGAAGAGCCGCTGCTTCGGTGCTCTCTTCCCTGGCTATGTCACTTATAAGATCGTGATTCTCCTACAGTTAAAATTAATTATTATCAAAATTATATTAATTAGCTCGTGTTTAAATAACAAGTAAGAAATTTTGACTCGGCCAAAGAACGAGCAAGGTGTGATGTGACCTGAAATCACAAGAACATGATATAAAAATTATTAAATTTTCTTCAAATTTTCATATCATGTTCTTGTGATTTCATGTCATATCACACCTTGCTCGATCCTTGACCGAGTCAAAATTTCTTACTTGTTAATTATTATCGTTGTTTCTTTCATTTATATATTCTCTTTCACAAAATTTATCGTCAAATTGATAAAATAAATGTTACAATATTAATTATTTTTTTAAGTTATAAATTATAAATAATCAGCAAGTACCTGCAGCAACTGAGTCAACCGATCAAGATCCATGTCCGCAGAGGAAGCTCCAAGGAGCATCTGCGTGAATAATCCATTAATGAGAGACATCTGATTTTGAAGATCTCTGCAATCCGCCTTGGTTAATCCCAATTGCGATTCCAAGTTTGTGATTTCCGAGTCTTGAGCGTCGACCTGGTGCGTGTAACATAACATGAGAATTTCAAACTCAAACAAACAAGTTGAAATAAATGAAACGGTAACATCTGGATACCTTGTCCTCGGCTTTTTTAAGCTCCTCCTCTAAGTTCTCCGATTTCTTTAAAGCGTAGTCTAGCTTCTGCTTTACATCCGTCAGCTCCCTGGTCGCGGAATCTTTCAACTCGGTCAAGACCCTCAGTCTCTCGTTGTAGAGACCTTTCAGCGCGTTTATATTCTCCAACTGTCGGTCGCACTCGACTCCTGCGTCATCTTGAATTTCCAGGAAACTCCTGTCGCCCAGTCTGACCAGCAGTTGAGCCAGATAATTCTTCAGCTCATTAGTCTGACGTTCTCGCGCAACGAGAGACACGCGTGCCTTGTCGGCCACTTCCGCCAAACAGCGAATGCGTTGTCGATGACGCTCTGAATCGGTCTCCAGGTGGTAACGAAGGTCGTCCACCTTCTCGATTTGGTATCGCACGCTATTTCTCAGCTCGTCGGATACCTGAAACAAGCCTGTATTTGTAAACTCATTTATTTCAATTGTAAAGCGAATTAAAATGTGCGGCGAACACAATACCTTTAGGATACGCGTTAGTCGTTGCGCTTCCGCGCATTTCAACGCTTTCTCGCTTTCATCCGTGTGCTCGCGCTCTTGTTTCTTTATCGTAGCCTTCACGAAACCATCGCTCGCGAGATCGAGATCATGCGGATTGCTACAGGCGGAACGCAACTCAGCCAACAAGCTCGACGTTTCGGAATGAGCTTCCTTCTCAGCATCCAATTCTCTCCTAAGTCTTTCCATCTCGGACGAGACCGCCGCGATAGCTCTATGTCTAGCTTCCCTCTTCAGGGTTAATTCCTTTCTAAATTCGTCCATACTCGAAGCGGCACAATTTGGATTCGATGTACTTTCCGGTACGTCGTCTAGTGAATCGACGATACCTATAGCATATAAACATGCGATTTTATTTTGCAAGTTAAAAGAACAATATAATGGAAAATAGAGATAATATAAAATATACCAATATCTTCTCTCAAAGCAACATCGTTTTCGTTCCTTCTTTCAGTCTTCATAGTCTCCTTCAGTCTTTGAATCTCCTGCAAAGCGTCTTCAAGAGCCTTAATCTGCTTCTTTTTGTCCGAAAGTTCTTCGGACAGTTGTGCCTGCAATTCTGTTATCTTTCGGTTTTCCACATTCTTGATCTGTTCAATCTCGAGCAATGATTTTTGCAGGTTCTGTTCCAAAATTGAAATTCTCGCGTGGGCAGTGTCTTTTTCCGATTGAAAGATATCGATCTCTCTCAGCAATCTTTCGATTTCTTTCTTAGCGCAGTCTAAGTGCTTCGTCAGTTCGTCGTATTGTTGTCTGCGTTCGTGCAAATTAGCCTCTACCGTTGTATATCGCGTTCTCAGTTCCTAAATAAAAAAAAAGATAAATTTATTATCTTTTTATTGTATTAAAATTATTAGATTACTATAGAATATTTAAATGTCGACGCTAAACCGAGCTTAGCGAGAAATCATAGCAAATACATGATCAAGACTCTTGTTTTTTTCTGCAACCCCCTCTAAAATTAAAAATCTTAGAAACACTGCCGTACCTCGTAATCTACGTCTAATTTTTTTACTAAATTTTTCTGATCCGTCAAACTGCACAGCAATCTTTCGTTCGCACTCTGAAATTCCAGTCGATCCGCTTTTAATCTCTCCACTTCTTCCGATAATCTGAATATTTCTTCCTTCGCTGGACTTCTCGTCGGATCTTGTTCGTCATCTCTCAATCTTGCGCGTTTTCTGCGCACTTTATCTAAATCTACGTTCACGGAACATGAGTTTTCGTCTAACGTAGGAATATTCGTCTCGGAATCATCGGAATAAGCGCCACAGCATACGTGAACATTCGTATCTTTGCTGGTCGTGCCTCGATCATCACCATAATCATCAGATACTTCACCGATGGCATCTGTCACGATGTCACTCGTTCGTTGGTCCGACGATTCACAACGCGATTCCGCGGATCTGGAACGGGAATTCTCGTTTCTCGGGTCTCGTGTCTTCGGCGAATTCTCCGATATTTCCGCTCTGGAGCGCGGTTTGCTGTCTTCTTGCGAGCATCGTTGTTTCCGCTGTTCAAAAGAACTCGCCGCCAGCAATTTTTCTAGTCGAAGAACACGCTGCTCCAATCTCTGCATATCTTCATTTTCAATGTTTTCATCCTGCAGCCTTTTCCGAGGAACGTCCTCGCATATCTCCAGATTCTCTGCCGTAATCTCTTGCTTCCGATTCTCTCGATCCTTCGACAACTCTAAATATAACGCTTCCATACGCGTTAGCGTTGCACTGTGCGCACTGGCTAATTGATGATTGGCCATGGCCAGCTGCGAGATGATTCGCGAAAGCTCGACGATTTCATTATTCTGTTGACACATTGGGTGATTGTGACCATCGGCCGACTGCCAACCTGTCATTTGCGTGGCACACGTTAACTGCAATGTAAATAAGCAGTTTGTAATTTCGGATTCTAATTCGTTCTAAATTTAAGAATACGCAAATTATTAAATGTCCCAAAAAATATCGTTTTTTTTTTTTTATAAAACTCGACCGATCAAGATAATGAATTTTAAGAATTTAATTGCACGACACAAACAAGAATTTAATTGCATCACGAACAATGAATCACGCCATTTCAAACAAAGAAGATAAATGAAACAAAGGAAATTTCTGTTTTTTTTTCTTTCTCTTCGTAAAGATTTTCTCTTGCGAAAAGTGAACACGCGATTAAAAAGTATTTCACGCAAGCTTACGTTAACGAAAGAAAATTTCAACGGCGCTTTCGAAAGATAATCGTCCGCCCTCGACGATTCGCAATAGTATACTGGCACAAGACACAACGTTTCCCGCGAAACTGACTATGAATAAGCACGTGATTCGCGACCGGTGACTGTGGAGACGGCTTTTTGACTGTGAGTCAGCATGTTCTCTCGAAAACACGGATTGGAGAAGAGCCAGCTTGTCGCGACTGACAGAGGAACCGGCTTCCACGCGCCGCGGACAAAACTGCGCGATTTTTCCCCGAAAAGTCGCAAGTGCAACTCGACGATGGCAATGCCCGAGTTTTAATTTAGCTGCAATCGCACGTGTCCCGTACAAGCAGACTGTTCAACACGATGACAGTCGAGACAAATAATACAATCGGTAGCATTTATATGTATATCTCGATGTCGCTCGCGGAAAATTATAGTCGCCAAGTTCGTCGTTTGCCGGTGAAATGACGTGAAACGTTGAGCTAAAAATATAATATAATATAATAAACTAAAAACAGAGTGAGGTAAAGAGAAAGAAGAAACGGACTCTTTACCAGAGTTTCGCGTTTGGAAGGCAGCATATTCGATAGGCTGGGTGCCATTGGCCTCTGATTCCAGAATTCATCAGTTCTCAAGGTCGCGTAGGGGCTCGGACCCTGTGTGCCAAAGTAGCAAATAAATTCAATATTTGTCTCTCTTTCTCTCTGCCTCTCTCTCTCTCTCTCTCTCTCTCTTCAAATTATATTTAGTCAGCAACGTACTTGCGATCGTGGCTGATCCTTCCTCTTGTAGACGCTCGTTCCGACATACGTTCTTTGTCTTTCGTCGTTCGTAGAGCCAGCATCTTCCGGATACGAAGATGTTTCTGCCTCTCGTTCGCTCGCAGAGATCAAAGCCGGCGGGCCACTACTACTACTTGATGCTCCCATTATTTCACTTTTTCACTAATTAAGATGAAAAGTATATAGATTTTTCGATTTCTTTTTTTTTGTAAATAATTATGCTTAATATCTTATTTGTTAACACAATGTACTCATTTTCCAAGGAGTACAATAGATAAAATAGATGATCACTCCTAATGCGAATAATGTAATATAATGTAATATACATATAATCTTACGATCTCTATATTGTGTCTTCAAATTTAAATTTGGATTTTGAGTACATAAAAAAATAATTCTTTGAAATTGTAATTTAACGTACGAGATATTTTTAAATCGCACCTATCAATACGTAGATGTATAGTTGCAAGAAGAAAAAGTTTGGATCGTGTCAGCTTTTATTTTTAGAAACTAGTTCGATCCTAAATTGTACCCCAACTCTCTCTGAAGACTAAGTAGGGTAAAAAAACTAGATTAGTAAAAATAGAAACATAGTCGATTTAATTGATGCGATAACAAATAACTATTTGATGAAGGTAAATGTAATAGTTTGCAATGCGATTAGTTTGTACATGTAATAAGAAAGATTTGCGTAAATAAAACTTCGATATATTGAATAACATAAAGGTTACTGTCGTTTAACAATGAAAATCTGTATTCCGTTTTACGGAGATGGCAGCCGCACAGATGAGTGTTTTCGGGGAATACAACGAATCCAAGTAAAAGTCGCTCACCAATGGTCAATTGAGTAATCGTGAAATTCGTGGCTTCGGTTTCTCCGAGGGTCAACGACGACTCTGTCTGACTACTGTCGTCGTTGCTAGCGGGCACCGACTCGCATCTCTAAAAATACCATTTCGAAAGACCGCCTGCGCAAAGCCGACGATACGTCTTCACGTCGAATTCGTGCGCAGAAGCGTTACTGCAGACTTCCGCGCGTATTTCACGTCCTAGGAAGCCATTCATCGGGTTCCCTCCGTCACAAGAAAACAAATTCACGTCAAGAAAGATTTTCCGATAAATATCCGATGGATATTACGTAGTTTCAATTTCATATCGTTGTAACGGAGGATGTTTTACGTAACAAGAACTCTTGAATCTCAGTCAAAGAATTCTTCAAAAACTTTTATTTTAACAAAATATTTAAAAAAAGTTTTAAAAATTCACTTAAAAAGTAAGTAATATTCAATAAACTGAATAAAAATATCTAATTAATACAGATAAAAATAATCTTATTATTTAATTATTGTCAGTAATGAAATGACTGTGAAGATAGTGATCTCTCGCAACGTGAATTATTGTCGTCACAAGTTCTACCTTGAGGTACAGCACTCACAGTTAATAGAATAAACAACTATTTTAAGGTGCTTTCAAGCCTTCGGACAGTAAATGCACTCAGGAAAACGTAAACGCCCTAACAATAGCACCGCACGTATTCTATATTTAGGTAGTTTTTCGAACTGTTTGTCGTTATCGCCGCACCCGGTCCAATAGGAAAATCGACTCATTCTTCCTTGTTTTTTATCTACAACATTGTACACTTAATTAATAAATAATTAAAAGCGCTTAGTCAAGTTATTTTTATTTTGTTCTTCGTCTATACATATTATGTACTTCGTCTTTAAGAAAATCGAAATATAGTCTCAATTAAACTACATAAGTTTCCAAAAATAAAAGCTGACACAACCCCTAAACTTTTTCTTGTGGCTCTACATCTGTTAATATTTAATTTTGACAATTTTAAAATAAAATATAAGTTCCACTCGATATTGAGAAAATAATGGGCAACTTTAATTTAAAATATTTATAATAAAATAAATATTAATCTTACCTTTATTATGAATTTTTTTCAAATAAAAGAAGTTACTTTAAACTAAATAAAATCTGCAATAAATAATAAATATAGAAATAATGTGTAACGGAGCGAATAATATCCAAGGCAATTTAATTAATTTATATCCAAGCCAATTAAATTATATCCAAGCCAATTAAATTTATTTAAAACGATGAAGGTGAATGTGTGGAAATAAATGGCCTCGCTGGCAAAATGATCAACTGCAGATAAAGTAATGCTCTATAACGTCTATCGTGCTTGGATATATCGTTCCTGTAGATAAAAGACGGCTTACTATTTTGCATTGTTAAATTATATCCAGAGGACTTTCGCTAAAAAAATGTTTGATATTTTATCGATAAATTATAGATTCCAACACACCTTAAGTTACACCGAAAAGTAAAACTATATCTACAGGATGTGAAAGGGTTGTTAAAAATAATGTTGTCCTGACATCTCTTGTTCCTATTGTACAGATAGGAAGAAAAACGCCCAGCAATCTAAACTTAGATGTGTCCGAGCTTCTTTCTTAACATTCATGTGATATGACTATTGATTATATTTGAAAAACGCGGCAATGTTTTCTCTGGAACAGTTTCGTGATTTGAGATATGTTTGCCATATGTCAAAAACATCAAATAAGACAAATAATAAGTTTATTAATAATATATTAATATTATAATTATTAATTATTTAAATATAATTTATTAATATTTGCTTATCCAACAAGTTTTTTTATATAAAAATTTTAAATATATATGAATTATATATAAAATGTGTATCCGCATAAATTGTCTTATTTTTGTGTAATTTTGATTCATATATGGGTATATATTTATTACTTTATCTTGTAATCTCTTTGACATTATTGGCATATGTTAAACCATATGTCAAATTGCGAAACTGCTTCAGGAAACATTATTATCGTTTCCCACGTGAATAATCCACAATTGGAAACACATACGGACGAATATTTAGAAATAAACACAAATTTTGAATATACCTCGATACATCTGCGAGTTTAGCTGGCAGGCATTTCTGTCCCCCCGCATGTGTATATTTCAAGTCATGAAAATAAAATAAATGAGAAATTCATCAGAAAATTCATAAGGTTTAATAATAAATTCATAGGTTCATAGGTTTAAAATAAAATAAATGAGAAATTCATCAGAAAATTCATAAGGTTTAATAATAAATTTCAAACGACAAACGTGGAACTTTCGCGGATAGTTTAAATCGCGAGTCATATTATACGAATGGCATATTATTTTGCACCTGGAGCTAAACCACCTCCATGATTATAACATGCTTATAGTGTTGCATTACAATTGTAATCCAAGCGCTTTGTTGTGGCATACATCTTATCCTCTAATATTCCTGAAACATTTATAATGTCTAGATACGCCGCGTTCGACCCGCCGGAATTGCTCAACTCCAGGTGCGAATGCACATACACGCGGGGCATACACTGCTCCAACGTGTGCTCCAATGTGTGGAGGAGCGTGGTCGCGCTCGCGCGCTCGCGCGCGCGCGCGCGTTCCGGTGCCGCACTGCCGCCAGCCGTGTACCGATCGGCTTGGTCTGACAAGGCCGTCGCGCGCGTCCGTCAGTCAGCGTTCGCGCACGAATGCGACGGTACGGTCGTCGGTCGTCGTGGCGGGTTTTTACTCGGCGCCGCGCTCACGGGGACTCCAGCTCGGGAGAGCAGAGCTGACGTTTCTTACGTGAAGCGGGAAGAGAAAGTGGTTTCCGCTTCTCTTATCTTATCTGTCACTCCCGCACTCTTTTCTTTTTCGCGCACTTTCTCCCCCCGCGATCTTTTACATTCCCTCCCGCGATTCTCGTCACCCAGTCATCACCGAAGGCGTACCGCCGGGCCAACATCCGTGCAACCGCTGGGGCTGTGTGACCTGCTTCCGCTCTATCCTCGCAGCGGTCCGACGACAGGCGGACGTGCACCCGCAGGTGAGAGGCGCGAGGTGCGGTACTCCGCATCGCGCGCGTCACGTCGGGATGCGGAGGACCATCGCCGTGATGAAAGACACATCCCTGCGCCTCGGTCTGCGACGCGACGATTTTTGGCGGGTACGATCATCATCGCGGCGCAACAGTCTCGGGGAGTACGGATGGGTGTTTGACAGATCGGAATCTCGAACGTCCGTTGTTGAGCGAAACGTCCTTCCGGCATGATCCGACGTGATCGCGTGTTTAAATAATCTGGCGACGATCTGGCCATTTCCAGCCAGCCGCACGGGTAACCGCCGGAGACGCGGCGTTACACGCTTGGGATGACACGCAATTAACATACCGCGCTATTGTGACGAACGTGCGCGGTCCATGACGGAGGGTTAAGCGATTATCGCCGCGTGAGCCGATTACGCGATGTTGTTGGAACAACAGGAAAGACTCGCGGCCAGAAAGATTGCCAAGTCAGTTGCGTTTACGTCGAAGATTTCACGAGATAATACGGCCGCTGTCTGATAAAGATAACAAATGCGCCGAGACCACGTTCCTCAAATTCAATTCGTCCACGCAACCTCGGAGCACGAGACGAGACGTTGCGCGCCTTCTCGTCAGACACAAGCAGGCGTGACAGAAACAAACATGTGTTACTCCGGAATCGTTTACTTTCGCCTTGTGAAACATCAGATACCGCGAAATATTTCGAGGAGCGTGGGCCTCACGGTGCAAAGTTCAAAGCGGCCTGAGAGTCGGAGGAGAGCGAGAGGGGAACATCCGCAGGTGTATCCGCGAGGTGTTATCTCAAACGTATCCGGCTTAGAGAGTGAGAGATCCAGCCGCGTGGGTGTTAAAACGCAACGTCAGATCGTTTCTCGCGTAGCTTGGAATTTCTCGCGGAAACTCTCCTCTTCGCATTACGGAAGGTCGAGAAGTCGATGCTCATCGACTACCCGTCGTGGCGAGCGGCGCGGCGCGGCGCGGTGCGCCGCGACCTTGATCGCGCACATCGGCGGCTCCGGTGCCACCGGTATAGAGGTACGCACGGCCTGCGCGTCGACGTCGATAATTCGCGCGCGCGGCGTACATTCTCTCCGCGTGTCCTCGTATTCGACGTGTTTCCGCGCCTCTCCGCCGCTAGAACGTTCTCTCAGAAGCGCGAGCGGATCTGAGAATTATTTCGGAAATGGTTCTCTCTCTCTCTCTTTCTCTCTATCTCTGTCTATCTATCTATCTATCTCTATCTCGTCGCGTTCGATAGGCCTTGTCGCGCTTCTGTCACTCTTCCCTGTTTTTACAAGGAAAATCGGGTCGATGAGACGCAATTAATTTTTTTAGAACAAGAATTGCTGACTGTAATCGTACGCTACTGCGATTTTTCCTTTTACATCTGCATATAGATACTGCATAGATATGCAATGACTCTTCCTCGCAGTTCAAAGTCGACCTGGATTCGACGTAATGCTTTGCCTTTCGCGTGATTCTCCAACCATTCGAATCAAGTAATTGTTCAATCAGTACACGATTAGCTATAACTGTATTTTCCAAATCTCCAACTATGACTTATTTTTAATGATATATAAGCATTCTTGAATTCATGTTAAACTTATTAATTAAAAACGAGGACGTGATATGTGATTCTAGTTTATTTGTTAGACATAATTTAAAAAGATTAGATACAGAGTAAGGAAAACATCTTTTATTCTCTAATAAATTATTTTAATAACTATAATATACTTCCGTAATTTTGAATAACTTAAGCATGCAAAATGGAAAATAACGAAAGTGCACGATATGTAAAATCTCAATTTTTAAAGAACTATAATATAGAAAAAAACTAATATTTTATGGATAAGATTTAGTATTAACTTTAAACATCGGGCATATATTTTGCAATTTTAAATAATTATTTACATGTTAAAGACAAATGCATGACACGTGAATAAATTTTGTCAGGTGCGAGTGTTCTTTGCGGCTACTATTAAAATCCTGTCAATTCAGTACGAAATGATTACTCGCAAAAATTATTCTTGGCGTGCGCTTTAAGCCACTTTAAATTACGCAATTACAATTGATCCTCGTTTTCGCGATACCGCGGACTATCGGCGGGTCGTGCCACGCCGTCGTATCTATCGCGACAGAGGTCGCATATCGATAATGTAGGTCATGCATTTTCGGCCTTGCACATTTGGCATCTGAACGTCGATTGGTTCGCGCGCTCCCGTGGACCGATTCGGCTGCTGTTCCAAGAGATTTATTGTTCCACCAAGTAGAATGAAGAACTTTATTTACGAAACAACTGTCAACTTTGCGGTTGACAGTTCGATTGATTCCGTAAGGAGCGATTTTGGCTTGAAATCAATGACCCGTATTTTCGTTATTTTCTGCTAAATAAATTGCATAAATTTATCGTTACATTTATGCCGATAGAATGCAATTGTTTTAAAAATGCAAAAGTCTCAGCAAAAATTCAATTTAATATTTTGATTTATACTAAAGGTTTCAGAATCATGTCTGATGCTAATTATAACATTTCAATAGTGAAGATATTTAAAAATTGTAATTTTTCAAGCATCTTTTTTTTAACATTTGCATCTGAAGCATGAGAGCACAAAACGATAAACTTTATGCCAATATTCTTAACGAATTTATTACATCAGCTGTAAGCTGTAATGGATTATGCGCATTTTATTTAATATTCGTTATTTAATATTCTGTACTAAAATTCGATATCCGATCGCTTCAAATAGGGATCGTCCAATTTAGGTCATACGTGTATGTCGTTTCATATAATCGCGACGAGTTAAAACGCGATGACCTTCGGTTCAGCGTGTACCTTTGATAATGCGCTCAACGCATTATTTATTCGAGCACTTGAGAATAGCGGGACAGTGAATTCTCTCATTACATCACATCCGTTATTCGTATTTCCACGCACGGTCGTTGCTCGTGCCAATCGCTTTTGTGACGCTCGATCGGTTTATTGTGTCGCGTTATCGCTTTTCACACCATTCGGCATAGCTCGAGCCTTGCGTTTTATACTATTTGTTATTTTTTTTTCTAGATTCTACTCCGCGTTATTTTGCGTCTATCGGTTGTTTTGCGAAAAACAACTTGTCGCAAGAACAATATACATTTATCTTATTTCGCTTTACTCTTAAAGCACTTAAACAGATAATTATCCGACAAAGGATTCGACAATTAAAAAACGTAGTACGCAGTAACTGAGTTCGGTGTTAAGTTCGGGAGTCAAGATACGACGTAAAGCTTTTTTTTTAAATCAGCGCTGTGTGCAATAAAGTTTATGAATTCGCCAAAGATAAAAGAAATCGTCGTACAAGAAATTAATTAAGAAAAATAACTGCTGTCTTAGCGAGGACGACGTTACTTTCATTTCTTTTAATGAAAGTAAAACGCTCTCTAATTGTCGAGCTACTTTGATACTTTAATGGCAATGATTATACATCGTCATAAGACGGATTGTATCCACGGGTTACAAATTTTCGTGGAATTATTCATAGTATATATGCATATTATATGACGTGTTAACGTTCATCATTACTTTTGTTCTAATGACAGAGTTATAAATACATAAATATGTATAAGTTATAAATAAGAAAGAAGTTTTAATATTGGACAGCCATGATACGTATATGTATACTGACATAAAATTATCAATTTTGATTGAAAGTGCAGCGATATATCGAGAAGCTCGGTTAAAATTATTATCATGGAGAGGCGACTTAAACGTCTTTAACATAATCTCCGACAGTTCCCTAATTAGTGCAACTTCCGTTACGACAACGTTTCTCGTAGGAGTTGCGAGCGTAGGTAGATACTGCGAGACGAGATGCAGGATATACGTTTCGCAATAGCATTCCTCCGCTTACTTAATAACAAGTTGCCTTTTAGAATAAATCGGCAAACAGAAAGCTCAATCTAAATATTATAAAGAGCCAGAGCATCGCTTGTTTTCGAAGGCAACCTGCGTCGAAAACTTTACGAATCATCATTTCGCTTATCCTTCAATAATAAATGGAAGAAAATCAATTCGCGCGTACGATCTCCAGCGAAAATAGACGTGTGGCAGTTAATCAATAGTTTATAGCTAATCGAAAAAGAAAACTTTGCCACATTTTATGAATTATATCTTCTGTTGAATTTCAATGACATATATATATATATATATATATATATATATATATATATATATGTGTGTGTGTGTAACATATTATCATAATATCACATATAACATTAATATATTTTAATATATAGCGAAAAATTTATATTTTTTATTTTTAACGTAGACGTATTTTGTAATAAAAAGTTAAAAAATTTTTTTTAAAGAATAATTTGTTCTTATCAGTTTTGTTAAGAAATGACGTGAGTTGAACAAATTAGTTGTAAATGACTGCGGCTTATTCACCGATAGTCGGAGAGGCTTTTGAGGAAAAACAGCCCGTCGAATGACACAATACACTAAATATGTCATTGTCATTGTGTCGAACGTCATCATATGATACACGGCACTTACTGTCGTCATACATCTGCTTCAGTATAGCTTTAACTTTAGAAACATGTCTTGAAAATGTCAGTGAAAGACAATGAAATTCCTGACTTGAGCGAGAACGTAAACTGTGGACGAGAACGAAATAGTGGGAGGCATGGGATTCCAACGTTAATTAGGACAAATATCCAGAATAAAAATAGTTCGAATTTGCATGGCGAATTCGGACGTATCTAAGGTAGCAAATCGATACCTCGGTAATGTTTAACCGTTGATTCGATCGGCCACTCTCTCGCACGCGCTCAACTGCTATTGACAAAGGAATGTTGTGAATATTTACCTTGCATCATTTGCTGAGTCATTATTGGTGGACTTACAACTTGCGTACTTACAAAGTCACGCAGTTATAGTTAGATAAGCTTCATATTTTATCACATCGCGTTAAGAACCAGCTATATTATATATAATATAACGAGATATATCTACGAGCAAATAAACG